AAGAGCGAACAGTAGAGAGGAAAAATGGATCAGAAGGCCAGAACTTAGGGCTAAAGAGATCAATTAGAAATGATAAAACTCAATCCATATGACATTAGGTACGTGGAAGAGGAGTTTATCTATGACAGTTGAAAGGGAAGTGAAAAAAGACCTGAAAATTAAATCGTACGTGAAACCTGTGAGCGCTTTGTTACTACAGGAAGGAACTTTGGAAGAGTAGAGAGGGCGAAGATCATCTTGAATAAGTTGAAAAATGAACCTGGAATAATGAGCCTTTTTCCAGTGCTTCTGTAGTCGCACTTGTAGAATGGGAAAACACTAAAATTTGGTCGATTTTGTCCTCCACATTCCTCTATATGTTGGCTAAGGGGTATTTTTCTAGTGTGCGGGTCCCTAATTTGTTGGCGATGAACTGTCACCCTTTGCTGTAGTGACTGGCCAGTTTGGCCAATATAATTCTCCTGGCAACATTTGCATGTAATTATGAATATTAAATACTCTGAGTCACACGAGAAATCCTTTTTAATTTCGATCCGTTTATATATATATATATATATATATATATATATATATATATATATATATATATATATTTGAAATTTATTTCAAACTTTCATGAGTTTCCGATGCTTAGCTATAATTAATTAATGACGAAGTTGTCGCTTTCTTTTATGATCAATTTAATCGCGACTCTTCTGTTAAACTTGTAGAATAATTATACATCCTTTTGCTCAAAGTAGCGTGTAATAAAAACCTCAGCGAATTCCAGTAAGATATCTTCAATCATTTCTAAGATAGAACGGTTCAAATCTTAAACTAACAAATGGGCAATTTTGCTTTTACAAGATTTTGGACATTTTTGCTGTTACGCCCGCTATATCGTCTACACTTTGACAAGAATTGTTCATAGCAAACTCGAGTCATTTATATTTTTTTAAGATTTGCATAAATAAATTCGGACGGACTGTAGAAAGATGGCATTCTATCTCCCTAATGACCCTTATTCAATTCACGTGACAACAGCCTAGCGGAGTAAAGCTTTGTTCTTGAATTCGGTGACATTGTAATTCGATCCTTGCACTTGAACTTGAAAAAGACAAGCAATAACGGAGCAGTACTAAAAAATAAGAACTTGACGAGATATCCCTAGACAGGGGCGGTGAAAGGGGAACAGCCTAACCCGCAGGTTATACTAAGGGTTCAGTTCAGAATTCCCTGTAGTTTACCAAGATCGATATATACCTGATGAAGGCGAGGGGGGGACAAAACGGCTGAAACGTTGTGATGACAACACTAAATATGGGGACAAGATGTGGAATGTAAACAGTGTAAATAATGATTGCTCCCCATTCCATAAATTCAGGGACAAATAATCTATATAGTGTTGTAGAAACGACGGAATATATGATAGAAATCAGAAACACATAGGATCAGTGAAAGGTGTTTACAAAAAAAAAATAATAATAAAAAATAATGTATTCACACATGGTGGAGTAATGGAATCGGAGATCCGAGTTCTAATTCCAGTCGAATCCATTGCATTCACTTACATGATAATACCGTTGGGTATGTTATGAATCCTCTTCTTATTTATGGGTAAATAGCAGGACGGACCGGGTTCTATAGCTTTGGATGGCGGTAGCTTGAAAAAATCTGCCTCGTCTGTCATGTATCGAAAGATACATGATCGGCTAAGCATGTTTCACGCATGGCACATAACTGACTGACTGACCCTTTGGAAAGGTATAAATCTTTTTCTTCTCCCACCAGCTATGGTAAATAGCAGGCCAGACCGGGTTCTATAGCCTTGGATGACAACTGGTCTACCGCAGAAAGAAATGGCAACCAACTGCGGGAAAAATCTACCTGGTCAGTCATGTATCGAAAGACACATGATCGCCTAAGCGTGTGTCATGCATGGCGAATAATTGACTGATTGATTCACACACAGGACATTATCATTCCAACGAAGAAAAATAGTACTGATTTTATATGAAATATTCAGCCTCCTTTAAAGCAATCAGTGCTGGACAATCCCCTTGCAGGTCTCGAACCCGCTAAGGTATAGCTCTTCCCACAGTTGCTAAGAATAAGATGAACGGAACAGACGAGCAAAGATGAAGTATTAAGATAAATTAGAACAACAGGATAACTTATGCTTGCAATCAGAAAAAGCCACATGAAAATACTGGGGAAAATAATGAAGAAAGGGGGTCCGGGGAATTTAATACTCAACGGACAAAATAAGTGAAAGAGAAAATGGTGAAAACAACTGGTGAATGGATGAGAGAAAATGGCGCAAAGTATGATTACAACAACAGGAGATAGGAAAATATGGAGAGCCATGATTGCCTACATTCTAACAGGAGTATAAAAGATGAAGTGGTGTATATAAGCGGGATTATACCTTTGTTTTTCTTGTGTATTCGGACATTTAACGCCTGTCTTATATTCAGGTTTATTTATAAGAATTTAAGTCTTTGTGTTCAAGGCAATATCA